AGACCAGAGGAAGGATATCAGTCCCGGCAAACACGGTCAAGGCAATCACATTACAAATTGGTGATAGAAGCGTGAATGGTGATGTGATGATAGAACCATGTGGCGCCGCACTGAGGGCAGGCGTCGTGTTACTGCGGACATACACATCAGCGGAAAATGGACTAGTTCAAGGATTAGTGGCAAATGTTTTGGATGAGGAAATTTTTATACCGCCTAACACTCTGGTAGGAGTACCACAGAACGTCGAGGTACAAAAGTCGGCACAGTGCATCGAACTGATCAATACCAGCAGTAATGAAGTAACAATTAGGTCGGTCAATGTGACTGCCGAGGTGAAGAAAGAGGATGGCCGATCATATACATTCCCGGAAACTGAGGACCCAAAACTAAATGAATTGCTTAATAAGTACAGGGATATATTTGCCTCGTACGATGGTGATTTGGGTTACACGGAAGTAATAAAACACCAGATACCCTTACTACAAGACAAGCCGGTGGCGCAACCTTATCGAAGATTACCACCAAGTCACTACTCTGCGGTGAAAGCACACCTGAATGATCTACTAAAGAAGGGAATTATTACAACCAGCACAAGCCCGTATGCGGCACCTATTGTAGTGGTAAAAAAGAAGTCAGGGGAGATAAGACTGTGTTGTGATTACCGGAAATTGAACAATATCACAAGAAGGGATGCATTCCCCTTGCCTCGTATTGATGAATGTCTTGATGCGTTGGGGGGAGCAAGATTTTTTTCTACCTTGGATTTGGCTAGCGGCTACCACCAAGTGGCCATGCACCCCAACGATCAACATAAAACTGCATTTATTTCTCCACTGGGACTGTACGAGTGGACCCGTATGCCGTTTGGTCTAACTAATGCGCCTGCTACATTCCAGCGAGTAATGCAGAGTGCTATGAGTGACTTTCTATTTCAAATAATGTTGGTGTACTTGGATGATATACTAGTTTACTCAAAAACTTGGGAGGACCATCTAGAAAGATTAGAACAAGTGTTTCTCCGTCTTAGAGAGATAGGAGTAAAGCTGAACCCAGACAAATGTGGCTTCGGTCTGAAATCGGTACGTTTTTTGGGTTATGTGATTTCGTCGGATGGCATCGCCACTGACCCAGATAAAATTGCAGCTGTTAAAGAATGGAAACAGCCAACAACTACGGTAGACGTCAGATCATTCTTGGGCTTTGCTTCCTATTATAGAAAATTTGTACCTGGTTTTGCAAAAATTGCCGCACCGTTGCATGACTTGGTAAACAAAATGACAAAGAAACACAGTAAGGAGAAAAAGAAAGGCAAAACACAACTGATAGGTGAATTATGGACTGAGGAATGCCTGAACTCGTTTAAGCTACTGAAAAAGGCTTTGACAGAGGCGCCGATATTAGGATACGCAGACTTTGACAAACCATTTCGGCTAGAAATTGACGCCAGCTCTAAAGGTCTGGGAGCTGTGCTATCACAACAACAGGAGCAAGGTTTCAGGGTTATTGCGTATGCCAGTCGAGCTCTGAAGGAATCAGAGAAGAACATGACAAATTACAGCGCCATGAAACTAGAACTTTTGACATTAAAATGGGCTGTGACTGAAAAATTCAGGGACTATCTATTAGGTGCTAAATGTGTGGTATACACTGACAATAACCCCTTGAGTCACCTAAAGACAGCAAAGTTGGGATCCATCGAACAGCGATGGGCAGCAGAATTGGCACTCTTTGACCTAGAGATAAAATATCGCCCGGGGCGGTCCAATGGCAATGCGGACGCTTTATCAAGGAATCCTTACGAGAGACCGGGCGATGAGGAAGAAACGCTGACAGGAATATGTGAGGTCAGAGCGTCAACAGATATCCCTCACGGGGTGCAAGTGATGCAAAACGGGCAGACTGTGGTGGAGCACATATCCACAGAGCCCCGTCATATGGACATCAGTGATTTTAACTGCCTTAATCACAAAGAGATAAGAGATGCCCAGAGAACGGATAGTGGCTTACAGCCGCTATTGAAATACGTCCAGGAACAAAAATTCCCAAGAAGAAGGGAAAGAGAACAGTTTGGTCGAGAAACAAAGAAACTACTGAGTCAGTGGGACCGTCTCAGTATAAAGGATGGTGTTCTCATGCGGAGAATTCATGACCAAATTGATGGGACAATACACCAGGTGGTGGTGCCTGGACAATTACGAGAAGAAGTGCTAAAGTTGGCACATGACAGGGCAGGACACCAGGGTCAGGACAGGACGCACAAAATATTACGACGGCGGTGTTACTGGCCCAATATGGAGATGGAGGTCAAACGCCATTGTGAGGCTTGTGTGAGGTGTCAGCATGCGAAAATGCCAGTTGTTAAAATGAGACAGCCATCAGGACACTTACTGGCGACAAAACCACTAGAGATTGTGGCTATGGACTTTACGTCGTTGGAGCAATCATCGGATGGGACGGAACATGTGTTGGTAATGACTGATGTATTCACCAAATGGACTGTTGCGGTGCCCACACGAGATCAGACGGCCAAAACAGTGGCAAAGGTCTTAATAGAACATTGGTTCATCAAATATGGCATACCAAGACAATTACACTCTGACCAAGGAAGGGCCTTCGAGTCAGAAGTAATTAACCAACTGTGCAGCCACTACGGATCAACAAATCTAGAACAACCACATTTAATCCGAAAGGAAACGGACAGTGCGAGCGGTTCAACCGCAGCATGCATGATTTGCTGCGTACTCTAGAACCTGAACAGAAAAAACGTTGGCCTGATTTTCTCCCAGAGTTGGTATATCTATACAACTGCACCCCCCATGCCACAACCGGCTTTTCGCCACACATGTTACTGTTCGGACGGGAGGCTCGACTCCCTCTTGACTTGTTCCTAGGAAAAAAGGAGAGTATGACTGTCTCATACACCGCACTAGAATATGTGAATGAACATATGAGACGAATTAGAGAAATGTACAGGGTGGTACAAGAAAGACTAGAACATGAAGCACGGCGAAGGGAACCGCCGGTACAGACAAAGGACCCGCCACTCAAACTGAACGACAGGGTATTACTGCGTAGCCACCCGTTAGGCAGAAACAAAATCCACGACCTCTGGGGACAGGAGATATGGCAAGTCGTGGAGATGCCTAAAGTAGCAGGTGGCCCCTTTAAGATAAGACCCATCAATCACACCAAACCGGATCGGTGGGCGAATATTGCTCAATTAAAGAAATATTGTCATAGTCAAGAAGAGCAGTTACACACAAGGAAACCTAAGACAATTAGGGAACCGGAAACTTACACGGAAATTCTCATACCCATCCCGGAACCATGTCACCATCAACAGCACAACAGCGATACACAAGTGGAGGATAACGGCAACAATGAGGATCCCGATCCTCCCAGAAGCAGAGAGACAGTAGACCATCAGATAAGTGGTCCGCGGAGAAGTTTGAGAAACAGAAAGAATACGAAATTTTTCGTCAGCAACCATCAATTCTTTCATGGTCGCGCTGGTATGAGAACAGACTGTTCAAAAAGTTATAAAAGTGAACTGGTGAAGGCACCAAACGATAAAAGGTGGATGTGAATTCTAGAACTGCTTTGTGTCTGAGGAATATGATGAAGACACATTTGACATGTGAAATAGTGATAACTGTCAATCTATTACGAATGTGACGACATTGACATTGAGTGGAACAATAATTTTTTTTTACGGCGGTGCTTTTGACTTTGAAGGAGTGCACCTGCCAAGCGTTGTTTGTGGTTGAAAACACACAAAAAAAGGCGGGGGTGGATGTAACTAGGGTAGTTACCATACTATGGTTAACAACGTATTACAGTCTGATGCAACTGATAACGATCATAAAGCCACGGCGTATTTTGGGAAGGATACGACAAGCCGCTGTCAACTTTGACACGACTTGGCTGACGTAACAGTGCAGGTGTTCTATTAATCGGACTGATGAGACAACTGCGTAGTAATCGGAAGGCGAGATATTCGGATTGAACATAACTATGATAGAACCGAATACGATTACGCATACGAAGGGATATATAGGAAGGCGAGAGCTGAGAACGAGGGGTAGGAGAGTGGCAGTATCAAGTTGGTTACTGAACGTTGTAGACGTATTGTGTTAATAGGGACGATAGACATGTGCATTCGGTTATGTGAAGACTAGTGAGGACGGTTGGGGGTCAGTTGATTCATTATATTATTGTGAAGCATTTCTTTTTGATTCATGTAATAAAAGGTTCAATGGTAAACCTGCATCTTCGAGTATCTATATTGTGGTCGATGTTGTGTAGAATGAGTAAATACACTCGTTAACATTTGGCACTACAAGCAAATAGACTCGTTACAATTGGCGTTGTCGAGCAGAAGATGCAACTAGACTCGGTTACATATATATATATATATATATATATATATATATATATATATATATATATATATATATATATATATATAGGCTAATATATATATATATATATATATATATATATATATATATATATATATATATATATATATATATATATATATATATATATATATATAAACAAAACCATATTAACAGTCAATAGAAAAAGTTCAACTAAAATCATCGTAAATAGTATTAAAATTTCGCTGTGAGATATTTTGTCTGAGATATTTTGTCTGAGATCATTTGTCCATGGTATCATTTGTCTTGATATATTTTGTCCTGGTATCTTTTGTCTGTGAGATCATTTGTTCTTGAGATCATTTGTCCTGAGATCATTTGTCTTGAGATCATTTGTCCGTGAGATATTTTGTCTGAGATAATTTGTCTGAGATCATTTGTCCTGAGATCATTTGTCCTGTCACCATATATATATATATATATATATATATATATATATATATATATATATATATATATATATATATATATATATATTACTCTTACAAAACTAACGAACATTATAAGTAGACATACAATATACAGAACAGCTAGCTGAGCCGATGTTGAAAGAAATACCTTGATTAATGAATCCAGGTGTGTTGAGACAGGACAAGCTGCTGGCACACTCCGTTACACTCCGATCTGTCTCAGAACTGTTCCGACAGCCCCCCTCCCTACACTCCTGCACTCTGGTCAGTCTGCGAGTTGTGACGACAGCCCCCCACACACAGCGCTCTGGCTGGCTGACCGGTCACATCATAACACTGGCAGAGGAGTCATCAAATAGCGCTAGAATCGGAGCCCGTCAATAACGCGGAGAGCCATCCAAGTAATTGATAGCTACAACTTGGTGGAGTACGGGTGGGGGGGGGGGGGGTGGTTGGGGGGGGAGGATGAGAGTGAGCTGAGAGGGTACTGACAGAGGCAAACGTCTGGTGAGAATTGAAAACATGGTAAACGTGTGTTGTACTGCGGTGATGCCGGTGCCAGCCTGGAGAGCTCTGTGTGAGCGAGGGGTGGAGCAGCTAGTATTTGTTTGAGGAATTAGCGTTTTGATGGCCATTCGTGGAGCTAGACGCATTTTCTTTTGTTACACGGACACATACACACGGACACATACACGGACAAACACATACGGACACATACACAACTCACACGTACGCGCACACCCACGCTCACACACACACGCACACTCACTCAAACTCACCCGCACACAAACACACACACCCATATTATATATATATATATATATATATATATATATATATATATATATATATATATATATATATATATATATATTTCTTTATTTATATATATATATATATACATATATATATATATACATATATATATATATATATATATATATATATATATATATATATATATATATATATATATATATATTTATGTATTTATATTTGAGAAAGACCCTTGAAACAGAATGGACAGTTTGATAGAAATGACTTCGTTACTAAACAGCTGAATTTCGATCACAGAGGTAGTGATGACGTGTCACGTCACACTTGTGTACGTCAACCTCCTGACACTCTAACTTCACAGGTTGGGGGGGGGGGGTTCGTCTATCAGTTACTCTAATGTCACAGGTTTGGGGGGTGCTCATCTAGGTTGGGGGGAGGGGGTCGGGATAGGGGTCATCTATCAGTCACTATATCGTCAAAATTTTGTAGCACCATAGCACCAACCACCCCCACTGACCATAAAAAAGTGTTGAGGCTAGCACGGTAGCACCAACCAGGATAGCACGGTAGCACCAACCAGGATAGCACGGTAGCACCAACCAGGCTAGCACGGTAGCACCAACCAGGGTAGCACGGTAGCACCAACCATACTAGCACCAACCAGGGTAGCACCAAACCAAACAGACTATCATGGTTACACCAACCAGGGTAGCACGGTAGCACCAACTAGGGTAGCACCAACCAGGGTAGCACGGTAGCACCAACTAGGGTAGCACCAAACCAGCCAGACTATCACGGTAGCACCAACCAGATTATCACGGTAGCCCCAACTAGGGTAGCACCAAACCAGCCAGACTATCACGGTAGCACCAACCAGACTACCGCGGTAGCACCAACCAGACTAGCACGGTAGCACCAACCACGTCAGCTCGTTAACACCAACCACCTCAACTCACCATAAAACAAAACATTTTAAGCCGCGACATCTGAGAATGTAGAGTGGTCTTGACAGCTCGCCTAAAAAAAAATTTCGACTTTTAAAATTTAATCTTGTTCTTGCCATTTTTGGACAAAAATCTGGCCAGTTATAGATGTTTTCAAGTCTATTTTTAGGCATAATCTGAAGACTTATAAAAACAATTATAAATCATTTTTACTTTTTTATTTACCATTGTGTACATATTACGTTTTTTAACACTGTAATTTAAGTAACATTGTAATTATCTTAAATCTTATTCTTATTAAAAGCACGACTTCAATTAAATATCAAATATCTACATAGTTTTACCAGTAATTGTATTCTAAGACTCCTTTAATCATACATGAAAATAGACAATCACATACAAATATAGCACTGGTCTCGACTTTTTCTTCTTGAGGACAACCTCTAAATATAAAAAAAATCTGCTGTATTAAAGAACTGTTAAATGAAGTTTATGTTTCTTGTCGCATTTTGAATTATCTTCATGGAATATTGATACAGGCCGGAACACAAATAAGTTGTTGGCAATTTGGAATCATCGAATAATTATATATACAACTCATTCCTACAAAGTTGTTTATGGGGTATAGTTTTATACCTGGTGCTTTAAGTCGTCATTAGTTATCGATATTCTAACACCACTATATCCCATAACTGTTAACGCATATTTTGAACTACGAATACTGACCTTTTACTGTTTAAGTTGATTTCTGACTGCATGTCGAAATATAACTAGGATTCTGGACTTTTGGCAAACCCCGCTTCAATTCCTGATTCCTGTAAGCTGATCTCTGACTTTCAACACTGTGTAAGCTACAATCCCTGAGTATCATAACGGTGTAATCCTTAACTTTCATTACAATGTGTAAGCTAATCCCTAACTTTCATTACGACGGGTAGCGAACCCTAACTTTCATTACAATGTGTAAGCTAATCGTTAATTGTCATTACAATTTGTAAGCTTATTTATAGCTTTCATTACAACGTGTAAGCTGGTCCTTAGCTAATTACTATGTGTAAGCAAAGATCACTGACTTTCAACCCCATCTGTAAGCTGATCCCTGACTATGATCAGCCAACAGACTTCCTTACACCGCACAGGCCTATTGATTTGGTTATCTTTTTCACACATCTTTCTAAAACGAATCATCGAAACGCCCTAATCAATACCCAACAGCGATATATCAATGTATAATTTTTCAATCTCGTGTTGCCCAGTATATGAACACACCTTAAAAAAATATTTTTTTTTTTTAAATCGTGCCATGATGGAGCAACGCTTCATTATGTTAACAAAGTGGATTGTATACATTTTTGTTTCTGAGTTTTTTAATTGTGACGTGACGATGCATAGCTTTATAATGTCAAATAAATGGGTTGTAGAAATTAGCAGGGGCGTAGCGAGGGGGGGGGGGAGCGGGGGGTGCGGACCGCACCGGGTGACACCAAGGCAAAAATATATAGAGAAAAACTCGAGGGGGGGGGGGTGCAAATCGAAAGCTTGAGGGGGGGTGCAAATCGAAAATTTGAAAGTTTGTCCCTGGGAAGGGTCTCTATGCCTCTGGGGTGGGTGACACCATTAAGTGCCGCACCGGGTGACACCCGACCTCGCTACGCCACTGGAAATTAGTATTATCTTATTCGTTCTTCTGTTAATTTCTTTCAGTCTGGATAAGACCGCGATGCGTGTATATTGATTAGTTGTTCTTTGTTAGGACTTAGGACAGTATGTTTTAGCAATAATAATAATAATGCTAACGGTGGAAATGTGTTTTTTTTAATCGCGAGAAATTAAATGCTTTATTAGCTTAAGAAGAATCATTAAAAGTTTTGGTTTCTAAAAAAAGATGATGGAATTAACGACATTTTAAACTCGTATATTCAGCTTATTAATTTGGCTAAGAAAATAACAGCAATAGCCTACATTTTTCACTTATTATAGTTTAACTGTTAGCGGTTAAAGATAGAAATCATGTACATTTAAAAGCTTGTTCATATTAAGATTTTTAGAAAAAATAAAAATCTATAACTGTTTTCTTTAATGATTTAACTGTATAACAACATAATAAAAACTGTTACGGTAAAGTAACTAGTAATATGCGAAGATTTGATAGTTTGCCCGGCAGTCAGAACGGGTCGCTACACTTCTGATTAGGTCCACCTATGTTGGTGACCCCAAGCTTAAGTTATACTGTGTTTACTCGAAGTGAGCGAAAGCTCACGAAAATCACCGTCTAGTAGTCGACGTAGTCCATAATGTATCCACGAAGGTTTGCAGTGTATCTGTTAACCGATTTATTTAGTAAGTCAACGTGCCTTTGTTTTATTTGATAATCTCCGGTGTTTTTTTTTCTGGTGTGTTGTTAATTTATGTGTTCTCTTCATCAGAGGCGTAGCGATGGGGGGTGACACCATTTAGGGGGTGACACCAATGCAAAAAAATAGCAAAATATATAAAGAAAAATGATAATTTTACTTAATTAAATGATTAATTAGAGTGAATTAAATAGAATTCTAAGATCAAAGTTGACAATTCCCAACACGGGTGGAAGGGGGGGGGGGGGTGACAACATGACGTAAACCTGCTAATAATAGAGAAAACATGCATCATCCAGCTATATATACAATTGAATATAGATACAAATCGTTAGTATTATCTGAGCACAGTTTAAAGCAATCACCGTGGGGTGACGGGGGGGGGGGGGAGTTAAATCAACTCAACGTGCGATATAAATGCCTGGGGAAAGGGTTTGGTTGAGAATCGTAATAACCTATATGTTAATCCATGAATAGGGTGGGGGGGGGGGGGGTTAAATACATACAGAAGAAAAAAATGCATACATATACACATGCGTGTACACATACTTACAAGTGTATACGGAATATATATATATATATATATATATATATATATATATATATATATATATATACAAATGTATATGTATATGTATATGTATATGTATATGTATATGTATATGTATATGTATATGTATATGTATATGTATATGTATATGTATACGTATATGTATACGTATACGTATACGTATACGTATACGTATACGTATACGTATACGTATACGTATACGTATACGTATACGTATACGTATACGTATACGTATACGTATACGTATACGTATACGTATACGTATATGTATATGTATATGTATACGTGTATGTGTATGTGTATGTGTATGTGTATGTGTATGTGTATGTGTATGTGTATGTGTATGTGTATGTGTATGTGTATGTGTATGTGTATGTGTATGTGTATGTGTATGTGTATGTGTATGTGTATGTGTATGTGTATGTGTATGTGTATGTGTATGTGTATGTGTATGTGTATGTGTATGTGTATGTGTATGTGTATGTGTATGTGTATGTGTATGTGTATGTGTATGTGTATGTGTATGTGTATGTGTATGTGTATGTGTATGTGTATGTGTATGTGTATGTGTATGTGTATGTGTATGTGTATGTGTATGTGTATGTGTATGTGTATGTGTATGTGTATGTGTATGTGTATGTGTATGTGTATGTGTATGTGTATGTGTATGTGTATGTATGTGTATGTGTATGTGTATGTGTATGTGTATATGTATATGTATATGTATGTGTATGTAT